TGGAGGCGCGGGGCCGGCCCTGGACCCGCGCCTCCGCCACCCAGCTATGCTACGAGCTGAAGACCTTTTTGCTGGCGGGGCACGAGACCAGCGCCGCCATGCTGTGCTGGACGCTGTACGAGCTGAGCCTGCAGCCGGGGCTGTACGGCGAGGCGCGGCGCGAGGCGCGCGAGGCGCTGCCGGCGCGCGCGGCGCCGCCCGCGCGCGCCGCGGTGGAGGGCATGACCCTGACCCTGGCCGCGCTGAAGGAGAGCCTGCGCAAGTACAGCGTGGTGCCGGTGCTGACGCGCAACCTGGTGGCCCCGGACACGCTGTGCGGCCACGACCTCCCCGCCGGCAGCTGGATCGTGCTGCACGTCCAGCGCGTGCACCACCTCTACAAGGACCCCCTGGCCTGGAAGCCGGCGCGGTTCATGCCGGGTGGGGAGTACGAGCAGTTTGACGAGGACATCCGGCCCTACATGGTGGGCTCCAGGGGGGTGGGCTGGATGTAGTGTGTAATCTGGGGGCTTGGATGTGACGTTCTTGGTGACCCCCACCATGGTCATTGCTGGTGCGCCGGTCGGCTTTCAATTTGTGGAGAAGGGGGGAGGCCACAGACCCGTTTTTTATCGAAGGCTACTCATGCAGCGACAACTCGTGCATATGCTGGGGTGCATGCATGAGGGGCCTGCGCAGAGGAGGCCAGTCCACGGTGCAAGACCGATCCCCTGCTTGCCCCAACAAAAACAGCCACCCGTCTTCTGTGCGAACTATGCCGTGTCCTCCCCCATCCCCTCACCCTCACCTCCCTCACATGCAGTTCATGCCCTTCATCCAAGGGCCCCGCAACTGCCTGGGCCAGTTCTTCGCGCTCCTGGAGGCGCGGGTGATCCTGGGAGCCCTTTGCCGGGAATTCAACTTCCGGCCGGTGCACCCGGAACACCAGGGGGTGACGCACCCCACCGTCATCCCTGTGGGCCCCGTCAACGGCATGCGAATGTATGTTGACTAGGGCAGCGCGCCCCTGGCTGTTTCGTGCGCTGTAAGACTGCGCGTGATGACGCAGCGACAGTGGGAGGGAATTCATGAGGGCCATCGGTGGGGCGGATCCAGTGTTCAGTGCTCCCTGTCATGGGTGGTGCGATGCGGAGGAGAGGGCCTGGGACGATGACAGGGCCGTCTTGTGCTCCATTCATCCTCTCAGAAGAACCATCTCGATATGCTCAGCATCCTGGACAGGACCTGCGCCGTCTTCCCCGCTCGCTCAAGCAAGTATGACAGGGTCGGCCGCACTCTCATTCGCCAAGAAGACAAGATGGGCCTTGAAGTGCAGCATCAGGAGGTCCCGCGGCGATTGTTTTGCAACCACGTCGGCAAACAGGGGCGAGTGGAGGCAGGGCACGCCACGCTGCGTCGCCAGTCTCAGCATAGCCTCCCGCTCCCTGACCAGCCAGGGCCTCCTGCTGCCTTCCCTGGTCCAGGGTGTAGTGTACAGCTCCAGCCGGAAGCGGGGGTGCCTGGCCGCGAATGTACCCAGCGCGACAAAGACCTGGGGGTCTGTGAGGAAGGCGCCGCGGCAGTTGAGCCCCACGTCCAGGTACTGGACTGTTTGTAGGGCAGAGGTCAGCTGGTGCACGTTCTCTGCGGCGTTCGAGGTCCCTGGCTCGTCCAGTGGTGTTGAGGAGCCATGTGAAGCAAGCTCCGCCAGCTCCGTCAGTATCTGGGACCAAAAGAAGCAAGGTTGGTGTGGAAATGATCACCGAAAGTCCAGGTTTGCTCAATGATTGCCTCAGCATCATGGGGTATGGATCAGGTAAGGCATCCCCACAACAAACAATGTAAGGCCAACAACCATGTAGCTCTCCTTCAGGCCCATGGGCACACGGTCCCACATCCACACAGCCCAGACCTGGTTTAGCACAACGCCGCCCTTGCTGAAGGCTATGAGGTCAACGCGCCCCCCCCCCCTGTGCTCCCAGCCTGCCCCAATGAGGAGGGCCAGCAGCTGTGGCAGCGCCTTCAGAGGCCCGGCCTTATAGCCCAGGGGCTCCCCGCTCAGCGTGCAGCCGTGCAGGAAGTTGTCGTAGCAAGCGCTGCCTGCCTCACGCCGTGAAGGCTCGATGCTGCGGGGGGGGGAGGATGGGACCTTTACTGAAGTGTGATTCAATGCTGAGAGAGTAGTGTATTGTGCAGGGAGAGCCAGGCTGCAAGCAGCACGCCAACACGGGCAGGCAGCCAGCAGCACTTTTTCTACCTATCATCCACGCTCATCACAGCATGGCAAGTCTATTTGCCTTGTGCAAGCTGACATCACAGCTTCTCTTGTGCTCCTCTCCGCTTGCCCATTCACCTATACACTGCGGCTCCGCCACTGCTGCTACACAGGAGTTTGGCAACCTTGGTTGGGCTTTGCAGGTCTATGATGACCCCATCCACTCCATGCTGATGTATCTGGTCCCCTCCAAAGTACACGATTGTCTTCTGCAGTGTGGAGAATGGCAGGCCTTCACCTATGCACTATTGGAGCAGACCACCATCCAGACATGCATGCCGCGCGGGCGTGATCCGCACCTTACAGTCGGGGCGGTCGACGCAATGCACCTTGTTCACCCCATGGGGTCCTTTGACCACACGAAGGTTCGACATGGCACGAGATCACGCACTCATATGCATGTGGGTTCGGGCACAAGGGTCACTGCTGATCCCCTGTTTCGCCCTACTCGTCAAGCAGGATCGGTGTGATGTTGTCGATATGTACAGATGTGAAACGCCATACGGAGGAAATGCGCACATATACCGCATGCATTGCCATCAGCTCAATATCGTTGATTCGAAAGGTCTCCGGCAGGCGATTCCGATTCGCGCGCGCTCCATATCTTCCTCCTCCACAGCAGTCTATCGCGAGAATGTTCCTTGTGCGTCGCTCCATCCACTTTTGCATACATCAGCCAATCCAACTTTAACCCTCGTGTATGCCCAAGAGCGGAAGGCGTTAAGGCAGGGAAGGATTCTGGGCCTCAGACCCGTAGCCGCGCTGCGCCAGGCGACGACCACCGCCGTCTGTCGAGGAGCCCTTACCCCACCAGCGAGTGCTGCGGCGGCATGCCGAGTGCATGTGTCTACCGTGCCAGCCTGCACGCCGTGAAGCACAGGCCGCAGCCCCTGCTCGCATGGACGGCAAGGAGGTTCCGGACTGTAGCGCCCTTCACCGCGTTCCCCACACCCGCACGCCCCAGACTCCACGCCTCGGCCTCATGCGAGGCGGTGTCACGATGGAACACGTCCTCCCCCAGCAGCGCCCCCCCTTCGCACGGCTTCTCCAGTAACGGGGGGAGTGACCCGGACACCAAGGAGAGCGCAGCACCCTTTGCAGGGCCGCCTGTTTACGTCAAGGCCCCTGGGCGCATCGTCGCCGGTGAGCTGGCTGGGGGATTTGGGTCAATGTCTTGCTTGCATTCCCTTTGGAAACGGGGAGCCAGGGCATGGCTGGACCTCGCAAGCATCACCAGGTTGGGGGGTGGGGCGGGCTTACCCATGCAAGGGACAGAGATCGTGGCTTATCAGGCCAGTGGCCAGCGTGATCTGCGCCTCCAACCATCGCTGCTGCGTGCCCCCTCTCCACCAAGCCCCTCAATGAGCAATCACAACAATAATTCCCCCTCGCACACCCACAATGCGCGCCCCCCCCCTCCCCCCCATATCCGCGCAGTGGGCGACATCCACGGCGACCTAAACAAGGCGGTGTCCAGCCTGCAGCTGGCGGGGGTGCTGGGCCGGGACGAGGAGGGCCGCGCGCTGTGGACAGGGGCTGACACGACGCTGGTCCAGTTGGGCGACGTCCTGGACCGCGGCGACTGCGAGATCGGCGTCCTGCTGCTGCTCCGGGAGCTGGACCGGCAGGCCCGGCTGGAGCAGGGTGCGGTGTGGATGCTCAATGGTAACCACGAGAGCCTGAACGTTGCCGGCGACTTCAGGTGGGGCCAGGGGGGGGGGGAGGAGGGTCGGGGAAGGGAAGAAAAAGAGGTTATGGCTGGGTGAGCAATGGTATGGTAGGTGCGGCGCATGAGCCGGTGGTGGGATGCTCAACTCTGGGGGCCGCTTGCCCTTCTCGGGAGCCGCACATCAGACTGATACCTTGAACTCCCAACTTCATGGCTCCGATTCCCGACCTGCTATTCCCCCTCCTGCGCTGCAGTCCCCCTCTGGTGCCCCGTCTCTTTGTATGTCACCCACCAGCCCTGGCACCCCGAACACCCTGCAGATCCTCTGCGCCCCCTCCCTCTTGCCCCGTAACACACACACTCACTCCACCCCCCCCTCCCCACACAAACACAGGTACGTGACCCCCGGCGCCTTCTGGGAGTGCGCCGTGGCTGCCGGCATCTCCGACGCGGAGCTGGAGCGCGACCCGCGCGCCGCGCTGCGCGCGCGCTGGGAGCTGTACCGCCCCGGCGGCCGCATGGCGGTGGACCTGGCGGCCAACCCCACCGTGCTGGTGGTGAACGACATTGTGTTTGCGCACGGCGGTCTGCTCCCCCACCACCTGGTCTACGGCCTGGAACGCATCAACGCCGAGGTGGCGGCCTGGATGAGTGGGGCGAAGGGCGGCGAGCCGGGAGCGGCCGCGCCGCTGCCGCCCTTCCTCGCCATGGGCGACGGCTCCTCCATCATGTGGAACAGGACCTACGGCCGGGAGCAGTTTGGCCACGGTGAGCGGCGTGGAGGAAGTTCTTTTATTTCGGGTGTGTGTGTGTGTGTGAACAAGAGGGGTTGGTGAAGAGAGGATGCAGCGGAGTGGGCTTGAGCGTGGTCTGAGCTGCTCGTTATGAGCAGCTCGCTGCCGCGGCCAGGAGCAAGAAGGGTATTGGCGGCATGCAGGTTGTCTCGGTCGCATGTTGTGGTCGTGTGCCGTGCTAATCCTGGCGAGCGCCAGACTGGTTTAGAAAGGGTGTTGACACCTCCCTTCTCCCTCATGTTGGTCCACCGCCTGGTCCCTCCCCCCCCACCCCGCCCCACTCCCCTCCCCTCCTCAATCCACACACAGGCGACCGCCAGGCGATGGAGGAGCAGCTGCTGAGCACGCTGCGCGCGCTGCGCGCACGCGCCATGGTGGTCGGCCACACGCCCCAGACGCGCGGGCTGAACTGCGAGTGCGGCGGGCGCGTCTGGCGCGTGGACGTGGGCATGTCCGCCGGCGTGCTGGATGCCGACCCGGCGATCCTGGAGCTCTCCGCGCCGGACGAGCGGGGCCTGGTAACGGCCACAGCCAAGAAGGCGCCGGGGAGGTGGTCGGCAGCCGCCATGCGCGGGGCGGGGCTGGATGACGGCGTGCAGGTGCGGCGCTGGAGCATCGGGCCCCTGGCGCAGCAGGAGGAGGGGGCGGGCGTGGGCGGCGGCGGCGCCGACGAGCCCGCGCCCGACGCACCCCTGTCCCGGCTGTGAGGCGCCTGGCGACTTCGGCCAGGCCTGTGCTACTCCCCTCCCTCGATGTATGATATCTGATATTCCCTAGGCTCTTTTGCTCTGGTCTCCCCGTTTCTCTCATGTAACACCGTCAAGCCAGAGCTATGGGACCCTCAACAGACCTCAACCCTGCTCTATTGTAGTGTGGCACCCTGAATGTAGCACGCTCTCTCTTCCACAACGAGACACTCTTTGACCACTTTGAAGAGGTGCGAATGGCAGCCCCATGGACACTCTGGGGAGAAGGACACAGCGTGAGGCGTGAAGAATGAGGGACCTGCCGCCGCAACGCAAACACAGGCGATCGTGGGGAGAAGGGCAGGGCAAGGCGGGTGCATTGTCCACATGCACAAAACAGGGTTAGAACACTCACCAAAACTTTGATGGGATGGATAGACAGCCTGAGACCCATGCGAGGAGCGATGGGCGGCATACACAGGGATCATGAGGTGTAGACGAGTATTTTTTGGGGGGCAGACTGGGGCAGGCGGTGGTTGGGGGTGGGGGAGGGGGCGATGCACCTCCCCAGCCTCCCGGCCACCCCAGTGCCCCGAGCATTAGACGGTCCCAAGATGGACCTGGAATCTGACGGCAGAATGGGGTGGGGACCGCCGTCCATCGCACTCACCCCCCGGGCACGGCAAGAGTCGCCTTGGGAGGGTGGTAAGGCCCGGAGGGGGAGGGGGGGAGGGGGGTGGGATCAACGACCATGGGGGCCCAGCGGCGCCGGGTCAGGAAGGAACGATAGATAGAGCCAAGGGGGTTAATAGGCAAGCTTGGAAAAAGATGGAACATTGTCGGGGGCATGGCCCTTGGCATAAGGCAAGTGGTGGGAATGAGTGGGAACAGGCTGCGGCGGGATGGAGAGGAGAGGGGGGGGGGGGGGGGGGGGGGGGGGGACCCTGCGCATGCAGCCAGGCGCAGGGTCGGGGCGGTGCGAGGTCGGTCGGTCCCACGAATCGGCACAGCCATGCACCCCGAGCCACACCTGGCATGCATGGCGTGGTGCTGCATGCCGCCCCCCCCCCCCTTCCCCCC